ACTAGGTAGATTTCTGCTAGCAGTCAATATTGATAACAAGATGATTTACTTGTAGCATTTAACTTGAACATGTACGGCTTAAAACAAATGTTCTCGCTGCTATAACGGCAGATCATGACAGATACAAAAGTGAACACTCAAATTTATCCTCGGTTCAGTCCTATATACAGCTGTGAGATAGCAGTAGTATGCATTGATCATCTTTGAAAGCCACTAGTTTGTGTCAACTGCAAAGAATGAACACTGAAAGATCATTATATTCAAAAGTGAAGTGATACCATGTTAAGTTCTTCCTTCGCCGACAAGTTTTTACAATTTACCATAATTCATTACGCAATTATAACTTGTTTTTAGTCACGATATGGCTGAAATATTGCCGATGTGACTTAAAATCTTTACTCACTCACTCACTTGTTAAGTTCTAAAGGCACATATTACCAACGTCTACAACGACATTCTTTCAACAGCTACGTATTTCGGACCAGTCTTATAACTTATAATACACTTGAAAATATTACCACAGATAGGATACCAGTGAAGATCTGGGTTTGAATTAATTTTCAGCAACTCATGCTTGTCGTAAGAGGTTGTCAGCCTCGCTGACATTATTATATTTTTTTAAATTACCACTATTTGATTACATTTCCATTCATTTAAAAATAACAATACATATATGTGCGAATAGATGTACACAGGATTGGGTCTCTCTGTCTCTCACTCTCTCTCTCTCTCTCTCTCTCACACACACACACACACACACACACACACACTCACACACACGCACGCACACAAGCACGCATACACGCACACATATACAGATAACGGACATCCATACATGATTACATTATTGAAGCACTCTCCTCACTGTTGGTGCTATCTGTTGGCATTTACAGACTATTCTCTATAGAAATATCATTGATCATTGTATACTTGTATCTAATCATAATTGTATCTGTGTATCTCACACTTTGGCTACATTGTACTGTACCTGTAAATAACAGGTTCTTACGTCACGTAAATTCATAATAAATGTTCTACTTTGTAAATTGCTCTAGTGCTATACGTGGTGTTTTTTAAATATATCACCTGTATGAAATCAGAAATATATCACCTATTGTATTTGATTGACCAGTTGAGCCCGTATCGTCCACATAGAGCACATGTAGGGATATTATCCGTGGGGTGTGCACGTCATACCCGGCACCCCAGGCGTGGTCCAGCCGACGGAATGGATGACAGCAATACTCAAGACAAGTATCCTGCATCCTGCAGAGGATGCCATTAAGATGTGCTGCATGTGTGGCTACACCAGAAACTGATCTGCACGCCCGACATTAATTTTACGGTTATGGGAGAGTGAGTTGGCTTTTTACGCCGCTTTTAACAATATTCCAGCAATATCACGGCGGGGGACACCAGAAATGTGCTTCACACACTGTGCCCATGTGGGGAATCGAAAACGGGTCTTCGGCGTGACGAGCGAACGCTTTAACCACTAGACGGTTACAGATATAAACCGTCATTACACATCGATGTCATTTTCTCAGTCTTTTGTTATTTTCAGTCTTTTTCTAATTTTCCACAGGGAATCTCAAAGCAATTTCAGCTCCACAACTGCCATTGTGAAAGTTTCTAGACGATCCGGGTTAGAGCTGGTCATCAACAACCCATGCTTGTTGTAAGGGGTGACTAACGGGATGGGGTGGTCAGGCTCGACTTGGTTGACACATGTCATCGTATCCCAGTTGTTTACATCGGTGCTCATAATATCAATCCCTGGACTGTCGATGTATAGCCGTCACAAGCTGGAATATTGCTAAGCCTGGCGTTAAACAACAAACAAAACACAAGAAACAAACTTGAGATTTGTTAGTTTCGTCATCAGGCTGGAATGCTCCGAATGAAATATACGTTGTTTGCTGTCGTGGGACTGGCGGTGATCTTCATAATGTTTGGTGTTCAATTCACTGGAAGGACGCAGTACTTGGGACAGAATATTTCAAGGTGACCTTTCTTTATGTTTACAGCATGAATCTTTCGCTTTAGTCGTAACTAATACCGCTCCGGGATACAGTGGAAGGAAGAGTAAACATGTCATGATGAATGTACAATGTGAATGATATATAAATATTGCAAAAATGAGAAATAACGCCAATCATTGTTAAACAGTATATGTCATATGAAGAAATTATTTTGGATCAATTCTGCCTGTTAATTTTAACGTTTGGTGTTCAATTCACTGGAAGGACGCAGTACTTGGGAAATAATATTTCAAGGTGACCTTTCTTTATGTTTACAGCATGAATCTTTCGCTTTAGTCGTAACAGCTAGACCCAGCACTTGCTGTCACTGCCTGCTGAATGCATGAATAGTCTCCTTGTCCATAATGCTGGGTATCACTTACTTGATAACTCCACGGTATTAGCATCTGGGGCGGTGGGGTAGCCTAGTGGTTAAAGCGTTGGCTCGTCACGCCGAAGACCCGGGTTCGAATCCCCACATGGGTACAATGTGTGAAGCCCATTTCTGGTGTCCCCCGCCGTGATGTTGCTGAAATATTGCTAAAAGCGGCGTAAAACCAAAACTCAGTCAGTCAGTCAGTATTAGCATCTACACCGAAACGTCGCATCCATTGCATTAATGAAGTTAATGGATTAAAAATCGTTCCTGTTCATTATACCAGCTTCTAAAGGCCACTCAAAGAAGGGTTTATCTCCCATTCTTCAGACAGTCATTCTTCAGACAGCTTAAAACAACAACATTTACGGTCTAGTGCACAGCAATCGAGAAAGCTGTTACCTTTGGAACCCAGTTACGTATTTCAATTAAGAAAGGGAACACAACCACATTGACATATGTATGTATATAATCTATTCATATGATATCATCATGTTATCATGAATAACATGTAATGAAATGTTTATTCATTGCATGTTCATCTGTATTCATATGTGTCAATTACAATTAGGTGGTAAATTTTATGCTCTTTTTGTAGATATCTCGAAATCATTTGATTCGGTAAATAGAAATAAACTATGGAATATTTCACGAATGCATGGTTTCAGTAGTAAAGTGAATAAACAAGTACATCTAGTGTTATGGTTTATGGTGAATGTGGTAGATTCCCGATGCACGTATTTTCTCAATTAAGGCTATCAAGTACTGGTTAAGATTGTTGAACATGCCTGCACATAGATTGGGGTCTTCCCACTTACCCAACTCCTATTGTTTCAGTAGAAGAAATCACTGGGGTGTGATAATCCCCTTTAATCCCTTATTTTGTTCCCTGTGAAATAGTATTCGGGACCAAATGTGATTTAAACATATTTATTTCCAAAGAAAGGAACCGGATTGGTAAACAAGCATAAGCTTATATGAATACCGCTCCGGGATACAGTGGAAGGAGGAGTAAACATGTCATGATTAATGTACAATGTGAATGATATATAAATATTGCAAAAACGAGAAATAACGCCAATCATTGTTTAACAGTATATGTCATATGAAGAAATTATTTTGGATCAATTCTGCCTGTTAATTTTATAAACGAGTGCACTGAAATTAAAAGTTCCTTGTTTAATATCGAGGAACAGCTTTGGTTTCCAAACAAAATCCTTTAGCATAAAAAGTACATAATTTGACGTGTATCGTTGTAAGGAGTACATGAGAAGAATTAATGATCAGAGTCTTCATAGTTGTGGCCACAAGAGCAAGATGATTTTGGAGATATAAATCTTTCATATTTGCGCGCATTAAGGTCACTACATTCAAGTCGGAGACGAGAATGTTTGATTTGACAAAATCTGCTTCCGAAATTTAAGTCAAAATGACTGTAGATATTATAATCATTCAAAAGTACATTATTTGCATCTCGATAGGCACGGTGATTCTCTATGTTCAGCCGGTAATGAATTCCATAATTAACAGTATCCGGGACCAAATGGGATAAAAATATCAACTATTTTTTGCTCAATATTTATCTTTATTTATTATTTTTATATATATTCGTCAATTAAATCTCAATTTGTAGCAAATGATATGAATATAATTCACTCGGATCAAATATAATTGTTAGCAAGTGGTGTGATTATCAGTTTATCTTATGAAATATGCTCACCGATGGTCATGAGATTGCTTTGATTGGCCCTGATTGGAGTGTTGGGTGAAGTTATGTCACAGCTAAAGCAGGGTGAACAAATTCACTCTGCACAATCACTGACCCGTAGCTGTTAATCTCTTTTAATCCCCCAGTATGTTGGGTAAGTGGGAATGAGCCCATAGATTTCCCAAAATGTGTTACAGTATGGTGATAGTTTATGATAGTAATGGAAAACATAATTGGTAAAGAATATAAAAACATTGCTTTTTAATATTGGTTTTGGTAACGCATGGTATGACCAAAACGTTAGCCGCAACCCTAGTTTTATCATATCAAGAAATATAATTCACCTGGAAAGTAGGGGTGTAACGATGCATCGAACTATTGATGGATTGCAATTGTTGAGTCTCCGATAGCAATTAATCGATCGTAGAAACGAAAAACTATCGATGCGTCGATAGTGTGTGTGACTTCCGTTGATAAATGCGCAGTGCAAAACACAAGAAGCACCAGATTCGTTCACTTTGATTTAGAGTTACCCGCCCCTGTTACCTCTTAAACAAACTTGATCTGGGTTTGAAGTTTCTTGTCAGTTATCAAAATAGACTGAGACCACTTCAGCGTGATAGTATTTCATAGAAATTATATATTCATGTGGGAAATGACTTCAAATGAGACAATTCAAGGAGAAAAGACTATCGCTATGGCAATATTTGGTTGCAATAGACTATCGCTATTGCAATAGTTGGTTGCAAGAGACTATCGCTATGGCAATAGTTGTTTCTCCATCAATAGTCACCCCTACAACACACTCATTATATGTTTTCTTTTTGTTCTCTAAAGGACACAGGTAAATAGAAGATGTGAGGGGTGCTGGCAAAACAAGAAGACCCAAGGTAGCATGGAGTTCCTGGAGGACCTACTGCTCGACAAAGTAACCTACGATATCAATCATCTTCCCTCAGAGACCGCCTCCAGGGTTTATCTGGATAGTAGAGCCACCATCAAATTGGGAGATGTGTTCACAATCACAGTTCGCCTGTATGACGGTTACAATAGGCCGCTGAAGCGCGGAGGCGACGTCCTGTCGATAAGGATGCGGAACTACACCAACGGAGCAGGTTCGGTTGGTCACGTTGTCGACCACCATAACGGAAGCTATACCGGCATCCTCCGCGCATCGTGGACCGGAAGTGTGAAGATATCGGTGTGGATACTGTACCCTCGGGAAGCTCTGTCGATGTATCTTAAACACATGGGTCCTTTCACTCCTAGGAAAACCATCATGTGTGTATTCAAGAACAAAAACGTTGCGACCGAGACACATGGTTTTCCCTCCGTCGATGCATTCAGACGGTTACCATTCTGTAACATGACAACGGAGAACTACGGGCTGGCTTGGTACTGCGGAAAACCGAACAACCCTTTAGTCTGCCATGACTGGGTACAGTTCAGATACAAAGTAAACCAAGAACCCGAGTGGACGAATAAAGAAAAAGAGACGTTCTATGTGAGGTATGTTGGCATCTCGCATCTCTCACTGCAAACAGGAACAATGGACTGAAATTAAATTAGGGCTGGCTATCGATATAGATCATAGAGATACACAACCTTTAACTCACAGTCCCTGAACCGCATTATTTTTCTCTTCTGCCCGACACTTCCCGCAATGCTAAAACCCTCAATGAAGCAAATCTAGATTTCCTCAGGGATTCCCCACCTCATTGGGGATCCTTTTCAATTTTAAAGACTTATTTGTTTCTATCGAATGTATATATTCAGAGACTAAGCCACAAACTGCAGTTTATGATTCTGATTCTCTTTTCATAATTTCAGTGCTATGCAGGTACGGAGAATACGAGATTCAATATCAGTTATAATCTCCGGACGACCGGGTGAGATATTCTTCTTACTATCCTATTCCATTGGTTGATCCTACCATCCATATACAATCACGATAAGCGCCATGCCAGGAAAAGCAGCAATTTCCATGCTCACGCAAGTGAGTGAGTGAGTATGGTTTTACGCCGACTTTAGCAATATTCCAGCAATATCACGGCGGGGGACACCAGAAATGGGCTTCACACATAATTGTACCTATTTGGGGAATCGAATTTGGGTCTTCGGCGTGATGAGCGAACGCTTTAACCCCTCGGCTAACCCACTACCCTATGTTCAACCAAAGAAAAAACTACAGCATATTGCTCAAGTCCAACTAGGGTTTTCATTGGACATCATTTTTGGCACTGATGCATATTTTAAGAATGATCCCCAAATCCCTTGTCAGCTACAAGGCAGGCTTTGGCGACGTTGTACGTCTGGTGATGATGTAGCGTTTGGAATGGCCTCGTTATGTAATTACATAAGGCCATATTTGAGTAAAGCATGTTGCCACAGATTACTAATGGGCTCAGTTCAAAGGGCATTAATACCGTATTGGACCGTGGCAAGTGTGAGAAAATCTGCGGAGAAAAACCCATTAATGCGAAATAAATTCATTGCAAATAAATCCTTTTAACATCTGTTGGGTTCTGCAACTTGTTCTGCTCTTACATTGAGAGAGCTTCACAAAGTCTGAATGTGAAAATATTACCCACTCTGTGTTTAAATATTGGATTAAATTAGTCAGAATGGGTTTAAACAGATATCCACATGAATGTAATAAAATGCTGAAAAAACTGGGGTAAAATTAACTGGGTTTCAAATATCCGTCTTTTTGTGTTTGTAGTCCATGGGCTGATATAGGTGACCTCCCTGATGAGATAGCGACTGACTTGTTGAGGTCTTTGGACTCCTTTGTCTGTCATATGTATGGTCAAGTCACACACAATGTAAATAAGGCTTGCTACCAAATCTTCATGAAGAAGTTAAAACCCAAGGGAGGACAGACTATGACAAGCTATGAAGATGTAGACATGAGACTCCTTCCATCTTGCAGAGACTCCCTACACATGCACATGCAGCGTGCGATCACCAGGCCTTGATCTTGGTCAATGCTGACAAGAATCCCCCTAGTGTTGCTCACCCTGTAGGGTATGGGTGGCTGAAAGAGGGAGTAAATGCTCTGAAATGTCAATGGACCATAGGCCACACCTTTCCACAAGGGTTGACTGACATAATATCCAGCAAGAACTTAGATTTGAGTAGAATGGAGGATTCAGACGAAGTTGAGATAGAGAGTCTTGTGGACACAATCTATGATGATTCGGCATAAAGGTACATAAATATAAGTAATGGTAACTCAATGTTATAAAAACCCAAAGTGAGTTAAACCACCATGCTTTAAGTATAGCTGTAACATTAATTTTGATCATTTTAGAGCAGTTGAAGAAATAATACGTTTTTTAACCAACTGCCAACTAGACAGTGTAGAAAAACAGCATTCAAGTCTGATTTCCCCCTTAGACACAATGCATTTTTCAAATTTAAAGTCTTCCTGTGCCTCTAACTAAATAATACATGTTAGATATTTTCATTGTTCCTGATAAAGGGCAGTTATAAGAACGAATTTTGTGAAAAAAAGAAAAAAAACTGATTTTCCCAAATTTTTACCCCCTGGCCCCCCTCTTGGGGGGTCAGGGCATGAAAAATACCGAGCACCCAGACTACAATAAACCATCTCAAAGTCTTTCCATGCTTTAAGTATAGCTGTAACATTAATTTTGATCATTTTAGAGCTATTGAAACAAGAATACCTTCTTAAAACAATTGCCCACTAGAAAGTGTAGAAAAACACCTATAAAGTTTAATTTTTCCCTTAGACGCAATGCATTTTTCAAAGTAAATGTCTTCCTGTACCTATAACTTATCAATAAACCTTAAATATTTGTTTAGATCCTGGTAGAAAGCAGTTATTAGAATGTATTTTGTGAAAAAAGCGAAAACTAATTTTCCCAAATTTTTCCCACCCTGACCCCCTTTGGGGGGTCACTGCGGGAAAAATCCCCCGCACCCAGCCTGCAAACACCTGGAATTTGAATGTACATATGATAAGCTTTTAGGTATTCACACGTATGGTTATGCCAAAACTTTGTGGATGAAAAATTGTTCATGTATGTGTTTATGCCAAAATTAGTGGATATTTATGTCCAGAATTGGCAAGCAATGTACAAGCTACACATTTTTTTGAGTAATTATAGTCTTGTAAAATTAGGATTTAATCCCGAAGCGTATATGCTTCTTGCAGGTTGCGTAGAGTTGAAACTGCTTGGTTGCCTTTCCTTGGCCATTGTAAAACACTTTTTGTCGGACTCACATCCATACTATTATTCACATAATTATCAGTGACAAAATTCCATATCACAATAACGTTTGCCTCTGAGTACACGCATCCACATACGTACGCACGTACGCACGCACGTACGCACGCACATCCACACTTACATACATACACACAGACATGGACACACACATCAAACCATCTGCACATCCATACCCATTCATCCATCCATCCATGCATTTCAGTTACCATCACGAACGTTGACATACACTTGTTTGTATTCCACATGTTACCACGCCCTGTCCTGTGTTACAGACTCTGCAATGACGGGAACAGCAGTGACATCATGCGGTAGGTCAGACTTCACAGACACGTGGACCCAGACCTACACTTCCGGCTTCTTCTACCGGAGGAAATGGCACAGAACGTCCTGCATATTGACCATTGATGATCACACATTGCGGAGATGTTTTTCCAACCGGCGCCTCCACATACTAGGGGATTCTACTTCCCGTCAGTTCTTCTCCGATCTCTACCAGAGGCTAAATATGACAATGGTCACTGAAAAATGGACAGTCGCAAGGTGGCACCGTTACACCGAGGCTCAAAACAGGGACATGATGTTCAGAATGAGCTGGGCTCCTCACGAACTGCCCTTGTACTTCGCAGGCAATAGAGCTTCTGCGAGGCCTTTGTTTGTTCACATCGATGACATACCCAGCGGCTCAAACGATTTAGTCATCGTACATATTTATGCGCATTTCCGGTTTCACCATCCTCGTGTGTTCAGGGAGAGTATCCGTCGCGCTGCGCAGTCAGTCCGGAAGCTGCTGCAGCGGTCCCCAAGAGCTGTAGTGGGAATCAAAGGCACTCACTATTTCCGGTTCCCCTCCGACACCATCCACTCTGGGTTCGGTCTGGTGTTCGATTCTATAATACGGGAAGAGTTCAGTGATATGTACTCGAGAGTGATCCTGATAAATGTGTGGGACCTTATCTTGGCCTCTGACATTCTCATACTACACCCGCCTGCATGGATGGTTAAGATCCTTGTTGACAGCTTTCTGGGCTATGCGTGTTCTCGATAGACATAACATAATGTGTTGGCAAATTAGAGGTATATAACGAAATTATTATAGCTGTATTTTTTTATATTTAAACCTCACGCTACGCGTTCAGTTTTAAATCAAATTTAGAGCTATTACAATTTCGTTATATACCTCCGAATGTCCAACGCAGTATGTTTATCTCCGTTCTACCACAACAGTTTTTATTAAGATTTGAAATAAATACCTACTGTGTTGGAAAATAAGAGGTATATAACGTGATAATATACCGCTGAATGACTTAATTAACTAATCACAATCCAGTATTTACTGGAGTCATGTGAGAATAGAAATTGGCTTCACACATTGTACCCGTGTGGGGAATCGAACTGGGTTCTTCGGCGTAGCCACACGGCTACACCACCACCCCGATAGACATACGAAGATACTTAATATTTTCAATGTCATTCATCGCACAAACGTACAGCCAAGATGGACGAAGATCAATAAAGGGAGACAGCCCTTGTGAAAACTTGTCAGTGGTTGTTGTGAAATCCAAGATGGGTGCGCAAGTTATGAACCGTGAACGCATGCCTGATAAGTAATATCCTATTACAGTGAAGATTGCTAGATTCTGGTTAGTCAATATTGTTATCAAGCGTACAAACTATCATTTAAATATTTACACAGTTCACTATTTGTTACGAGGGAGGAGTGCAGAGAAAGGAACAGCCAGGTTTACGGGAAGCACGAGCACAAGTGCCGACAAAGTCATTGATTCATTAACCTGTGCTGTGCCGTCTCCATCCTTTCTCGCACACCTGGCTGTTCCCCTCTTTGCACTCCTCGCTCGTAACAAATAGTGAACTGTGTAAATATTTAAATGATAGTTTGTTGAACAACTTTTTTATTATTAGGATATAAATTCTGCAAAAAACTTACGGAGTTGGTCTGATGTTTTGATTATGATCAGCGTTTCATTGAGTATAATATGTTTATTTATTATATGTTTATATTTATATGTTAGATTGAAATTCATCGGTCAGCTTTTGAGCCAAACGGACTATAAAGCCAATTACACCAATACAACAGTTGCTACAACCACCACCCCTATATATATTAATCCTATTACTGCGGCGGCGCCTGCAACTACTTCAACTACTACTGCTACTACTACTACTGCTACTACTACTACTTCTGCTACTACTACTACTGCTACTACTACTTCAGCTACTACTACTACTCCTTAAGCTACTACTACTACTGCTACTAGTACTACTACTACTACTTTAGCTACTACTATTACTACTACTACTACTGCTACTACTACTTCAGCTACTATTACTACTACTACTACTACTACTACTTCAGCTACTACTATTACTACTGGCACTAAATGTATTAGTGTTATTGTCGCTGTTACTCATTAATACTGGAACTACTACGAATGATACTACTTGCAATAGCCTAGTGGTTTTAGACTCGCCTCGCCGAAGACCCTTTTTCGATTCCCAACATGGGCACAACGTGTGAAGCCCATTTCTGGTGTCCCCCGCCGTGATATTGCTTAAATATTGCTAAGAGCACATACTACAACATATCTGCCGCAGGTAGGGCGTGGCTTTCTCCTACGCACCGCGACCCATGAAGACCCGGGTTAGAATTGATTTTCAAAACCCCATGCCTGTCGTAAGAGACGACTAACGGGATCGGGTGGTCCGGCTCGCTGCTTTGTTGACACATGTCATCGTATCCCAATTGCGTATATCGATACATATGCTGTTTATCACTGGATTGTCTGGTCCAGGCTTGATAATTTACAGACCGCCGCCATATAGCTGGAATATTGCTGAGTGCGGCGTAAAACTAAACTCACTCTCTCACTCCAACGCTCTGCAGCTGACCCACACTGACTTGGTCATCTATGCGTGCGTTTACAGGGAACAGAGTCAATCGGGGGGATATGCGTCCAGAAGAGACTATTGATCAAGTGAAGAAACGGGCTGCCAGGTGGCACAGTGGACCATGCGGTGCAGCTCCCACTGTGTGTTCATGCCCAGTAACCTCTTTTCCATGCAACACGTTATGAAGAAATTGACATATTAAGGCCGCTTTAAACAGTGTGTCGGTTTTCATAAGTGAAAGTGTGAGTATGGGTTTACGCCGCTTTTAGCAATATTCCAGCTATATCACGGCGGGGGATACCAGAAATGGGCTTCACACATTGTACCCATGTGTGGAATTGAACCCGGGTCTTCAGCGTGACGAGCGAACGCTTTAACCACTAGGCTACCCCAGCGCTCGTCAGTTTCATCACCGTGTCTGTTCGATGTGGAGGAACTGTCTGGTATCACAGTTCACAGCAAGGGAGGAGGCGTACTCATACCAGCAGCAGCATACTGGATGAATGATGAAACTTAATTCTGGCTAATCAAGAATTAACATCATAACCAACAGATTCTCACACGTCTAAGGGACGCAACTCTTCACAGCCATGAGTGTTCCGCCACTGTAAAACAAATATGTGATAAACCTTACAATTAAAATGTTTATATTTATATTCACCCTCGATACTATAATTATTCGTTAAAACGCATGAAGTGAAAATATCTCATCAGTTGTATTATTTGGCTAAATAAAGGCAGGTTGCAACATTTACCTCGCTACAGCAATGGTCAAGTTTACAAGTTCGGCTGAGTATCCAGGATAAGAATGATCCACACAGTTGTTGGTTTTCTTGTGACTTGAATATGTACTGTGAGGTGAGTGACCAGATTTACCTCCCCTTATATAGCTGAAAATGACTCCAGAAGATTCTCAAACTCCTTGGGTCCAAATATGTGGAAGGTTTAGTGTCTTGTAATAGGTTCTGGAACTCTGGCGTAATATGGCACCAGTCTAAAAAGGTACACCAAGTGTTTGTTTGTTGTTTAACGCCGCACTCAGCAATATTCCAGTTATATGGCGGCGGTCTGTAAATAATCCAGTCTGAACCAGACAATCCAGTGATCAACAGGATGAGCATCGATCTACGGAACTGGGTTACGATGACATGTGTCAACCCAGTCAGTGAGCCTTTCCATGCAATCCAGTTAGTCGTCAGTTGAATCCAGTTGAAGTAAGGGCTGAGGGTGACCCGCGGCATCATAGAAAAAACTCTCGTTTTGTTGATGCTGATGCCGTCCCCACATCCAGGTGGGCTGAAGGCGTGTCTCTAGCCTGTTGTAACTCCAGTAGCTTCACAGGACAAGTCCAAGTCTAACCCGGATCGTCACGAGTTAAACAAAACAAAATCCCGGAGAAGAGTTAAACAATGTCTTTAATGTGAACATCTACGCTACCTCACTGTTCGAAAATGTGATTTTTAGTGCTATTTAACGCCACGTTCAGCAATACAGATTCTGTATTTATGTCCTGTTTTCCCGCCGCTCATCTTTCAAGGTCTGGAGATCGTCATGTAATCATGAAGTCTCGTCGAGAAAGGGTTGTGTGTTGAGATTAGAAGGTCTTTCTTCAATGATATCTTCACAGTCATCTTATCCGTGGTTGATGTTTACTCCCAAGAAAGCTACTCACCTTCGTCACCATAATTAGATTTATGTCCTGCCGTTTGGCTTCAAAGCGACAGTTACACTTTGTTTTGAAAACAGGCTATAATATGCACCTTCATCGACCATCTCTGTAGTAATTCCACTCTAACATTCGGCACTTATCGGTTATCAATCTGAACGTCGGGTCATGATGTTTGCTCTGCATGTGCCTGTGCAGTGTTGATAACGTGCATCGTTGTGTTCCACAGACGAAGCCACCACGATATGAAACTTCACTTTAAGTGCGAACGATTGTGATCACAAACATGTGTAGGATATACATGCGTTCCGTTATTTTATTGCTTGAGCATTTTTAATTTTCTGCGACTTTCTGTACCTTCCGTGATGTACTCGAGAATTGTTTTCCGGTTCAGGATGAACGACGTTCGTGACTAAGCGGAGGATGAAAGCAAGACTGATGCCTTCTCGGTTTCTTCCAAACAGCATCCAGTTAGGATATCTGACAAGGTCTCACATATCGACAAGTAGGTTTATGATACTGTAATATAACGTTTTAACGAAAATATGACTCATAAATTCTTCATGTGTTTTTGGATAGTGCCAAGTTATAGTGAAAGATAGCTACTGACAAAACACAATCATTTTCTTCCTTGTTAAAACATATCTCATACTTATTGATATAAAATGTGTTTTTCTCACATTATACAGTTAGTATTTACACCGTTTCTCGTGGTTTCTTGTGAATTAACACAAGTATACCAATTCTATTAACAATCCTTCTAATGCAAATCCCGAGAAAAAGAGGAATATGTTTCACAGCGCCGTTTTCATGGAGAGGGGGTGTTGAAGTGTGTGAGAGAGAGAGGAGAGTGGTGGGATAAATCATCACTCTCAAGCAAGTCTGTTACAGTGAATGAGTTTAGATTTGCGCCGCTTTTAGCATTATTCCAGCAATATCACAGCAGGGAACACGAGAAATGGGCCTTACGCATTGTACCCATGTTGGGAATCGAACGCGGGTCTTCGGCGTGACAAGCGAACGTATTAACCACTAGGCTACCCCAACACCCTCAAATCTGCTACGGGACAATGCAATCAAGGGCAACATTGTAGTTTGTCAATCTCCTGATATGCTTACCACTAGCAGCAATGCGAGAACCGCCCTTCAGACAACCTTTCGGACATGAATATGCCAACGTTCGTGTAACTAGAAGACGGTTTAAGGCCTGCTAAATATCCCGCTCAACAAATATCCAGATATAGGTTTGCCATCTGTTTTGACAGAATATGGGTAAGTGAGAGGACACCATCCCACGAAGCAGGGGGCGGTGGGGTAGCCTAGTGGTTAAAGCGTTCGCTCGTCACGCCGAAGGCCCGGGTTCGATTCCCCACATGGGTACAACTTGTGAAGCCCATTTCTGGTGTCCCCCGCCGTGATATAGCTGGAATATTGCTAAGAACGGTGTAAAACCATACTCAGCCAACCCACGA